ATGAAAATAAGTCATTTATTCATTATCAAAAATCTGCTGAAATGGGAAATGCTGTTGCGATATTTCAAATTGGATATTGTTATCACCATGGAATAGGAGTTGATAAGGATGAAAATAAGGCATTTATTCATTATCAAAAATCTGCTGAAATGGGAAATGTGAGTGCACAAAATCAAGTTGGAAAGTGTTACCAACACGGAATAGGAATTGAAAAGGATGAAAATATGGCATTTATTCATTATCAAAAATCTGCTGAAATGGAAAATGCTACAGCAATAAACGATATTGGATATTGTTATTATTATGGAATAGGAGTTGAAAGTAATTATAATAAGGCTTTTATTCATTTTAAAAAATCTGCAGAAATGGGAAATATTTTTGCAATATATCATACTGGACGCTGTTATCAATGGGGAATAGGGGTTGAAAAGGACGAAAATAAGGCATTCACCTACTATCTAGAATCTGCAGATATGGGCAATCTTAATGGAATGTTTGAAGTTGGTTATTGTTATCGAAATGGGGTTGGAATACAAAGAGATTTGCAGAAAGCTGATTATTGGTGTAAAATGTAAATAATTTACTTATCTACTTATTTATTTTTTTATAGATAATTATAAATTTTATAACATACTTTTTCAAATAATAACTAGGGAAAAAGATAAGAGATTAAGTAATTTAAATTATAATTATTATTCGACTCATTTTTGAAATAATCGAGATTTACCAATTTATATTTTTAGATGCGAATGACTGGATGCGTGAAAGTTTTGATATTGATGATGGTATAAAGAAATTATTGCCTGAAGGAAAATATCTATTATCTTGGATTTCTTATAAAGAATTTAAGAACATTAAAAAGATAGGACAGGGAGGATTTGCAACAGTATATTTTGCTAGATGGTTTGACCAAAAACAAAGTATAAATAGAGCTGTTGCGCTTAAATTGCTTCACGGATCAAAATCTTGTAATGAAGAGTTCATTAAAGAGGTGATTTTTATTTCATGCATACTATTAACTGCATTTAATAATTTTTATTTGAAGATCTTAATTATTTTGTCTTTTAATATTAAGTTAAAGGCATATTGTGATATTAATTCTAGACACTCATCATTTTTAAGATGCCGTGGAATATCAAAAGATGATATTTCAGAAGATTATATTATCGTTTTAGACTATGCAGAAATGGGTTCTTTGCGTCAAAACCTACATTCAATAGCCAAAATAAAGTGGAACAATAAATTAACCTTATTACATTGTATTGCTTCTGATCTCCAAATAATTCACTCTCAAGGACTTATTCATCGGGATTTACATAGTGGTAATATTTTGCAAGATAATTTACATAGTGCATACATTGCTGATTTAGGACTTTCAACGTCTATAGCGTCAAATGCAGAAAAACGTGGAGTTTATGGGATTTTACCATATATTGCACCAGAAATTTTGAATAGAGGACAATATTCGACAGCATCAGATATTTATTCATTTGGCATTATTATGTGGGAAATTTTATATGGAAGATCAGTATCTTATAATCATGACAGCTTCAATTTGAAATATGTAGCAGAGATTTGAGACCAACAATTGCTAACGATACTCCACAATGTTATATAAATCTAATGAAGAAATGTTGGGATAAAGAATCGGTAAATCGCCCATCAGCAACAGAAATTTGCAAAATCATTACAGATTGGCAAAATGATGAAAAAAATTTATTAGAATTTACTAAGGCAGAAGAAATATTGAATGATATCCAAAGTATACAACCACAGGCATGTTCTGATGACGTTTATAAAAGTAAATTTATTAATTATAGCACAACATTTTATCAAGGTAATTATTGACTGCATCTTATTAAACTAAATTTATTCATCAATTAAGGATCAATTAAGGATAGTTTTTCTAATCATCTAAATTGATGAAAATTTTTATTTAAATCCTACAAATTTGTAGAATTTAACTAAATTTTTATCAAAATAGTTATGAGGCTGTTTAAATATTCCAAAAAACTATACCATTTTTATCTAGGTATAAACAGCGGCGCTTTGACAACCTCATAACCAAATTTTAGTGAATTGAATAAATTACATATTGAATGTTATAATATGATTAATATAAATTATAATTTTTTTTAACAGACAGTGGATTGGATGAGTTGAACGTGATGTATAATACATAGACGCTTTGGACTGTTTAAATCTGTCTAAAAGGAGGTGACAAAGCTAGTAAACAATAGGTATTATGAATCTTATCTGCACTGATTATTACTTGGTCAGTCAAAAATTGATCGTACATAGATTGTAGTTTTTCATATATCGTGAGAGAGGACTACGTCCAAAGATCAGCAATCTGTGCTATAGCACAGGACAACAAAAAACTTTCAATATTTTATATGTGATTTATAGAATTGTTATGACTCAATAATTTACAGTGTAATCAAAAATCTTTTTAACAGATTTGTTACAATTTGGTTAAGCTATAATTGTTAAAATAGATATTTATTTTTGATTCTTTATAAGGTTGTTTTGCTTAAGTTTATATATTTGTATAGAAATCTGGCGCTTAATATAAAAAAAAAATTAGTCAACCAATATTGATTATGTAATTTCAAATTTTGACGTTTTTTAAAAAATTATTTGACGTTCTTTTGCTGTTCCATACTGTATAATGCTTTTATATACCTCGATATAAGAGGAATGCATCTGTTTAATTTTTATTCAGTTTTAAAAGTAATAATGGAAATGATTTATTGAGCATATTGGTGATAGATTTCTAATTAAAGCTAGGGATTTCATATAAACTCTATTTTTTATAGCATATACTTCAGCACTTATGCACATAATCGTCGTACAATTACAATTACTAATCTATAATGAAACATTAAATAATGCTAATTTTTATATTTTGCTCATTTTACTAATCAAGTTTCAAATCAAGCTATTATTCAAGTATTGATGCTTAATCAATTAGTATTTATGTCGCTATTTCGTTCTTAGTTTTCTTAGTATAATTAAGGCTTTAAAAACATTTATTCGAAATCACTCCTACACTAAATAAAAACATGGTTTTCATGTCAAAATACGTTACTATGAGCGGGATAATTCCAGATAATTATGTAAAGCTAACTAAGGATGCCTCCGAAAGTATTTTGGCGTGCCGAAAGTCATGACGAAACTCATACCGAAAGTCAAAAGTCCTACCGAAAGTCGAAAATCTTACCGAAAGTCGAAAGTCTTACCGAAAGTCGAAACCCTTACCGAAAGTCGAAAGTCTTCCCGAAAGTCAGATACTTTTTTTGATTTTAAAAAGTCACGTGACCGCTGCACTTAAAATCGACCAATAGAATTTTATAATTCCATTGGTCGATTCTAAGTGCAGCGGTCACGTGACTTTTTTAAAATCAAAAAAGTATCTGTGTAAAGATATGATTGGCCTTGACTTTCGGGAAGACTTTCGACTTTCGGTAAGACTTTCGACTTTCGGTAGGACTTTCGACTTTCGGTAAGACTTTAGACTTTCGGTAAGACTTTCGACTTTCGGTAAGACTTTCGGTAAGGGTTTCGACTTTCGGTAAGACTTTCGACTTTCGGTATGACTTTCGACTTTCGAACATTTCGGTAAACCAAACACTGTTCGAAAGTACTTTCGGTAGACTTTCGATTTCGGCAGGTACCGAAAGTACCTACTTTCGGAGCCATCCTTAATCACGTGTCACGTGTGACCTTGATAACTGTGGTACCGGTTCCAATAATGTAGATAGTTTGATTCTTCTAATGATAAAGAACGATTTAAATTTAAAAATTCAAAGTGTTACAAGTAACCAGTGCATTATTAATTTTAAATTTTCAAAAAATCCTTTTTGCGATATTTTTTCTAATGTTAAATTCAAAAGTTATTTGGCTCGAGTCACGTGTTACTACTTTCGCTTACTAACTCGGAGTTTCCAATAATTGCGTGAAGCAGTGCATAAAATTTTTCCGAGTGATGTAATTCGCTTTTATCGGTAAACGAAGTTAAAATAAATTCCAGCTGAAAATAATGCAATATACAGATTGCCGATATTTTACAGTAAGCTTCGTGCGTCAGTTCTGCACATTTAAATGAATCAACATTTTGTTGAGAAATAATTATGAGGTATTATCTATGAAATATGAATATGAACATATTAATTACGAAATATATCACCTATTCAATAACTACTTTCGCGTGATGAATTTTTCGTTTCTAGAATTCGATAATAACTAAAATTCGAATTGAGTTTTCTGTTAATATAGCCATTCTGATCAACTAACTTAAGTTTCGTTCAGTTCGTGGACACTAGTGACGTTATCCAAACTATTTGGGACGTCCCAAACTATGTGATGGATAATATCACATGAGGTATTTACCTCCTTTATTTTTTTGCTGAAATTCTCGGTAACATCGCTAATGGAAATTAATATTACATACTTGTTTGCGATGTTGTGATTTTTATTTTTAATAAACTAATAAATCTTATAGTATTAACCACTATATTTCATATTTTGATTAAAAAGAATTTAAGTACAGCTGTGATTAAATTATCGCACAGGCTTTAATAAATCATTCTACCAAGCAATATTGCAATCTATTTGATATCATATTTGCGTAATCATGGGAGTTCTCTAAATTCCATAAATAAATTTTGTTTTTTTTTTAAAAAAAAACTTTATCATAGGATGCCATACCTTCACAAAGTCCGCTAATAATATTCTTTTTTTCTCTCATTTTTTCACACATAAATCTAACACAATCTTCACGAAAAAATATATATTGCCATTTCATAATGATTTATTTTCGTATATTATTCACCTCATTATTCGTCTCAGAACTGTTTCATATACTAGTGCACCTTAAAGTACTTTTTAGCCTTTCATTTCCAGGTGGTCACTACACAGCCCAACAACTTTGGAATCGCTATGCATATTTCTGGTTTGATTTGTTAACAGTGTTAATCTCATATTTTACGTTGAATTTAATGTTTGTGGAATTGGAAACTTTTATCACTCCAGTGGTTGAACAAAAGGATAAAATTCTATATCATAATTTCACTGAATTTAATATTATGAAAAAAGAATTTGAATTATTTGGTTATGTACAACCAACTAATCTTAAAGAATGGAATTGCGTGGTTAAATTAAACGAAATTGAGATAACTCTTTTTTATTTAATCACAACCATTTTATTTTTTGGTCATATTTCACTCCATATATTTTATATTTGTGGATGGTTTACCGGGTACAATGAATTTTTGAAAACTTTACAAAATTATCGTGAAACAATGTCGATGCAAGAAATTAATTCAATAGGTGAAGATATGTACGCTCAAGAAACTATTTTGTCTACGGGTCATATTACACGAAGTAATACTTCTATAACTCATGAAATTTTTAATACAAGTTTTGATATGTCAAATCCATCATTAAATTATGAGGAATTAACCAATTCAAATGATGATAAAAAATTTCAGAACGACATTTATTTTAAGGATAATATAGAAAATTTTACACATTTCACTCCCTCAATTGATGACAATGCTACAGCTAGTCAATTGTTGGAATTATTAAGGGAAAAATCTCATTCTACAATTGTTGATGATGATTTATTTTCTACCCAAGTTACTACTTGTAACCAAGAATATCAAAAAGAATATACGACAAATACTAACAATCAAGATTCAAATGCTTTCACTTCCGAGGATGATTTACCTCAAAGTCCAAAAGAATATTTAGGCGGACCTTATGTTGAAAAAGTACTGATTTGGTCTGCAGCTCAAGGATGGGAAGCAAAGCAGCGTGCACCTTGGCATTGGATTCATACCATTGGAACAGGGTTTGATATTTTGGTTCATATGGTATTTGTTATGTGGCATGTAAAGGTTTTAAATAGTTTGTGAATGACTTGAATGTATTGAAAACCTGTATTTTCTTGGTTATGTAATTTTAAATATTTTATTGTTCAAACAAGCGATGTAACGGATGCACTAGTAACAATAGTTGTGAATAATAAATTATCTCAAGAAAAGGGTTAACTAAGTTGATAATGAAACATTGTATTTAATACTAATAATCATATTATATATGAATTATATTAATCTAGAGTGCAATGTATCTTATTGTGTGGAATTTCATCTTACTGATATTAAACAAACATTAATATTACAGATAATTTCGTTATTTCCGGTATATTATGGATTACTATAACAAGTTAAAAAAGGTCATAATTAATATTTTATCGAATTATTGCCATTTAAATAAAGCTTTTGAGATTGTATATATTATAAGTTTAAATAATAAAAACGAAGAATTTATATTTTAATTAAATTTTTTTTTGTGTGTCAAAGTCTCTGTCTTCGGGGAGTGACTTTTATTCAAGTTATTATGGACATGGGAACCTCCAGAAGCTCCCTTACATAGGAGGTTACAGTTAGTCACATGCACACTTTTGGTACTTAATTAAGTAGTCTGCCTATACATTACTATACAGGTTCTATACTAGATGTCATACCTGCAAGCTAATTATGATCTTGCATATTTAAACCCTCTGCATATGCAATCCAACCTATATCACAGAACATTTTTAAAGCACAGCTTATCCAAAGTTCTGATGCCTTTCAGTACTTGTAGATTACTTTATTCTTGACAGAAAACTTACTAAGCTTTTTATATTTTACTTACAGCTGATCTAGTTTTATATAATATGCTATAGTTAGGTTAATACTTGCAGTTACAGATATATTATTAAATTGTTACTATTACACTATTTCTATCTTTATAAAGTTTACAAATATTCTAGTATTTATTTTTTTGACACCTTCTTATTTTAAACTAATAAGATTCATTTTTTTTTAAATATTAAGATAAGTACTTGTGACCCAGGATTTATTAGTAGTATATTTGGTTAATGGATGCTTTACAACCATAGAGGGCAACCATGGGAAGAGTGTACAACTAGCTACTTATACAACTTTAGTCATTGTCTAATTTAAGTAGTCCACCTGAAGGTTCTACACTAGTTGTCATACCTGGAACCTGCTTGTAGGTTCCCTATTTAACCACTCTGTTTTTATATCCACTCACCTACCTCTGCCTACTAATGACCCTGGCTGATGCTGATGAAAATATGCCATGGCTACTAAGTCTTTAAAGCAGTTCACTCACATGGAAAATCTTTGACCTTATACTAAACCTTTCAGAATCTTCTATATCTCATTCTTACAGCTGACCTGATATTGTTATGGCTAAGACCAATACTGGCAGTTAGGATGTATTATTAAACCACTATGCCCTTGTAGAGTTTATCCCAACCCTGGTACTGACTTCACAACATATCCTTATTACTTTGGTATTCAATTCAAGTTTCACCAAGCTGTCATTCCAGATAGTTCAGAAAGGTAGGTCGAAACTATATACCTCTGGTTTACATGTTTGCTGACATGTGCTCTTTTTCTCCAAAACCTGGAAATTCTGACAGCTGGTTGGTTCATCTGGTCCCTTCTCAAAGACCAGCATATTTGCCCAGTTTTACAAGTTCTAGCTTTGTTTTATAAGTCTAGTCTTTAAGTAGCACTGTTGAAGGTTCAGGTTACCTCTCTATTTGGGTCTTTCAAGTGGGTTTCCATCTTCTTACCTGGTTCCTGTGATTACATGACCTAAGGACTTATCTTGAGTTCATACCACCTGGTACTGGTTTGTGTTCCCTCGTACAATGTTGTATAAGTGCCTAAACCTTCCAGTTATACTGATATGACACAGGTTACAGGTATCCTATCCCAACCAATCACAGAAAACAGTTAGTCATAATACAGAAAGAATTACAAATTTTCACTGTTACTGAGATTTGAACTCTAAACCTGCCACTTGGGGGTTGACAACCTATTCACTTCACTAGGTTGCCATACCCCCACTAATAAGATTCATTAAATTATCAATTTAAATAGCATAGTAAACTTGTTTTCAAGTTTTGATATACAATTAAAGATTCTTTTTCTTTAGCTAGTTTCAGTAACCTATAAATACTTAGCTTATCTAATTATTTTTTCTAAGATTTTTATCAGTTTAATAGTACTATCAAAAGTTTATATTATCTTTTTACTTGAATTTCCAAGTGGGATTTCATCTCTTTAGTTTTTTAATATTTAATATCTGATAGTTTTATAATAAGTTTGTACTAAAGTCTTATACAATACTATTTTAATATTCTTCTATGTATATATAATATTATACTTCTTATAGATGTCTTAACTTTTATTTGAAATAAAATTATAGATAAATTATCTAACTAATTACCAAAAGACAATCTGTCATAGCACAGATATAATTTTTAAATTTTGTTATAGATAGAATTTGAATACTAAGTTTGCTACTTAAAGATTAATAATTTACCAACTATTGCAAACAATTACATTTTTTTAAATTAATTTTTTTTTAAATTTTTTTTTTTTTTAATTTTGGCAACAATGCCAGTTAGTTTTTATTAGCTTTAATTTGATATAGTACAAATTTATGGTTACATTTTAGGATCGATTATTACTAGTACTATATAC